GGCGGGGGTCGGGATCGCGCTGAGGGGGGAGGACGACGGGGGTCAAGATTCACTGATTGATTGATTGATTGATTGATTGATTGATTGATTGATTGATTGATTGATTGATTGATTGATTGTGTGTGTGTGTGTGCGTGTGTGTGTGTGTGCGTGTGTGTGTGTGTGCGCGCGCCGGGGGGAGGGGAGGGAGGACCCCTCCCCCACCAATCAATCAATCAATCAATCAATCAATCAATCAATCAATCAATCAATCAATCAACCAACCAATCAATCAATCAATCAATCAATCAATCAATCAATAACAGCCATTTCGTCAAAACGGACATATTATATTCAAAACTGACTTTTTTTGCCAAAATCCAGTCGAAATGTTTTGCTCTTAGGGGTCCGGCGTTCCCAAAACGCCGGACCCCCCTGGTCTATGGTTGAGACCAGATACTTTTTTTTTTTTTTTTTTGTATCTGGTCTCAACCATAGACCAAAACGCCGGACCCCCAGGAGCAAAAAATTCCGACCGGATTTCGGCAAAAAAAGTCAGTTTTGATTTCGTTCAAAAAATATAATACGTCCGTTTTGACGAAATGGTTGTTCAATCGCATTTTTTTTTTCTATTTGACGATATATATATTTTTTAACATATAAAAAATCAGCCCCCCCCAAATTTTTATTTTTTTTATTTTTTTTTGCACAGTCCGACAGCCGTCGACGTGCGCAGGCCGCGTGCGCGCTCGGATCTCGAGGGCGCGCGCCCACCTGCGCGCAAACTCGACCGCGCGGCCTAGGCCGCGGACCCGCGGCCTAGGATCCGGGCCGCGGACTCGGATCCAGCGGACGCAGCCAAGGGTGCCACGTAGTTGTCGCGTGCATTAAGGGAGGATGAAAAAATACGAATAAAGAATCTCTCACAATCTAACAAATCCTCCTCTGGTCAAGTGCATAACGGAATCGGGACATAATTCTCCGCACCAGATCTTCGCAACCATTGATACAACTTTTCATTACGCCTTCCTCCTTGTGCAACAACCATACTAGTTGCCATATACACATGCTCACCCCATATGGTAAACAAATCCCTAGTGGTACTTCCTACGCATGTATGCCTACATCAAGGTGACACCAAAACATAGACAAGCGGTCCTTTGCATGCATTAAAATCAAAACGATCATCAACCAAACGCTCAACGTAACTCGCATACTTAACAGTCCACGGAATCTGCCCCGAGAGGGTTAACAGTAGAATGATCCAACAGAAGAGGATATTCAAAGATTTGCAACGAAGAGAATCCACAAAAGAGAACGAATCTTCCTACACCGTTTAGCAAGATCCCAAAGGTGAATTACGCTCGGGAAAGTCGCTAAGAGTTGGCGTCATAATCACCTGCATGGGCAACATCCGCACTAACGTCCTCGGTCTCTTCGGAGATAACATTGATAGTCGCCTGATTGGAAGTCGATTCAAAGGCCTTGGCTGCACATTGCAAAACAATCTCCTCCTTGGTGCGATCCAAGGTAGTGTACGCTACACCTTCCTTGTCACATATCGCCTTGATATCATCCTTCTTCAATCCTTGCAGTGTACGCCTAGCGTCCATCATAAAACCCTCTTTGTTGTTGGCCCGTGCAGCTTGTTTACTCATAGAGGTTGGCTGCTTCCCTTTCTCTGCACGCCGTGCCGAATCATTGGCTGCTTCATCAAGTTTGGTCTTCAGATTAGTGCCCTTGCTCCCAGTCTCCTTCATCCCCATATTCATCTTCGCAAGCTCCCTTTTCAACCTTTCGATTTCCAGCTGAGACGCTTCCTTTCCTTCCTTGAGTCGCTTGACTTCTAGTTCCGCTATTCGCCTGCCATTCAAATCTCTGCTATGCAACTCCTTAAGGAATTGAACTTCCTTCCTGTGAACATCTGCCATCGTATTCTCTTCCGCGCTACGTCCTGCCGTCACCGCTGGAGTTTTCATCGGAGTACACCTAGGTCGGACACGGGCATGCACACTCGGTGATTCCTCAATAACAACACAACCCCTTTTGTTGCCGGGGTGAAGAGCCTCATGTTTCCAAGTAGCCGCTTCGTTAGTGGCATGCTCATGCAGACGTCTCAGCAACACAACTTCCTCCTCAAGGGCAGAAACTCTCCGTTCGGCATCTTCCTGTGTCTTCCTCCTAAACTCCTCCAATTCCCGTAGTCGTCGAGCAGTATCATCTTCGGCGGACGTTGCACCACTACTTGAAGGCAGCGAACTACTCTTCATCTTCCGAAGCTTGTCTACCTCTGCTTTAAGTTTCTCAATCTCAGCGCTGCTATCTTTGCTAGTCTTAGTCTCTAATACTTCGCATACTTTATCGAATCGAGAATTCATTTCCCCCGCGATCCTCTTGTGAAAATCATCCCTCTCTTTACGGTCTTCCATCCTTCGTTTCTCTTCTTGCTCCTCTTTCTTCTTTCGATCATCTTCTTCTTTCTTCGAACGTCACCGCTCTTCTTCGGCGTCATGTCTCACTTTCATCTTCGACACAAGTTCTTCCAAATTACTCAGTCGCTGATTAGTATAACTCCACCCACCACCCCTCGTATACTAACTGATACCCGGATTCGTTCCTGCTCCATGTCCAGGGACGGTAAGTAATGGCGCTTATACAGGAACCAAAGCAGAATTCGGATTGGATACTTGACGTCGAGGCGGCAGATGGCAAAACCTAGCATAGTGCCAATGTTGACCGCAGTTGTAACAGCCCCGCGCCGCAGCAGGTACGTTGGCAGACATACTTGAGCAGACTGATGATTGATAGTCGTTAAGAAGCGAAGCCACGCAGCGATAGTGTAACCTCTATCCCAGTTACTTCGTGTAAAGAGGTTGTTGTAATGACAACACTCGAGAAACGACCAACCAAACTCAGTCAAGCAGCACCACTTCAGTAACCATAATGCGAACACGGAGAAGGAAAAGAAGAAAGAGGGAGGTAGAAGAAAGAGACCCCATGCAAAAGAAAAGAAGAAAAAGGAAGGTAGAAGAAAGGGAACCCACATAGAATAGTAAAAAAACTCCCGAACGTAGCTCATTGCAAGTACTAAACAGTGAAGCACAAAATGAGCACGTCAAACCGTGGCGCGATCCTAACCATGAGGGAAGACCAGTTTCGGCTGGTCGCCACACCAGCCATCCTCAGGGATCTTGTCGGTACGGGAACATTACTGTAGCTCGAATTTATTCTACGGGAAAAAGTCCTAGTTCTAGAGAGTGAAACTAAAAAGACCAGGTACATCGTACTAAAAAAGTCATCACTTCCTAGGCAGAGCTAATACATACTTATCAACCGACAACTGATCGAAACTCGCCCGCCCGCGCCAGCAAAACATCGTCATCATCGGAGCCAAGAAAAGAGCTCTTCGCGGCCCAAAGACCCAGCCTAAAAGTTACCTTAGATCCCTATCCTGACCGATCAGCAAGGCCCTAAGTCGGGCTTTCCCTTCGCATGGCCCATGGCCTGCGGTCGGGATCCCAACTGCAATCCGAGTTTGACCCCGCGGTGATGACCGCGGGGAATTCGTAGGCTGTTATTACCGGCTTCTTCAAGCCCTTGTCCCGTTGGAGCAGGACAACAATCTTCGGCCTGTAATTACATATTGGGATCGCCTTGGCAGAGGAGGTCAAGTTCCAACAAAATCAGTTGGCGTACTCTGCTCCTCTGTGAAAGTTGGCATACTGTGCTCTTCCAAATCATGGGTAGTAGCCACTGTCCCTTCCTCCTCCAAAATAAGATTCTTACTGAGTCTCCCTGGTCCTTTTCTCCATCTTTGAACTCTTATGTCCGCACTCAAGTCGGGTCCCAAAATTTTCCAGTATTTGTTGCTGTTGTCTGGGTCCTTCACCCAACTCCCTGCATTTAGTTCACTGTCTTTGTACAAGGCACCGATCCAGTGGTGGGGCGTAGCCCTTTTGATTCTGTTGTAGTTTTGTTCCACTTGTCTGAGTCTAGGCAAATTCTTTTTTACTCTTTCCATAGGCAGCCACTTTGTTGCCTCCTCATCCCATATATCCCTTGAGTCCCTCAGTTGGATCAACCCTTGCTGAATCCATGTCCTGCCAAAGGAGCCCGAACTGCTATCTGCTCTCAACTGGCCTATCTCGGCTTCATTTATATATTTGTTCTCAAATATGATCTGGTTTAGAATCTCCCCCCTGGACTTTGGTTCTTCCAGCAGCTGGGGGTGGACCTTGTTCCAAGCTAGGAGAATGTTATGCCAAACTTGTGACTTCAAACTCCTTTGGCAGTTTGATGGAATCATACGACAGAGCCAAACATATGCTTCTTTTTGTAGGGACCATTCTATCATCATAATATACTCAGCCAGCCACAACCAACATTTGTCTGTGTCTCCAAACATGGCAGACACTGGCCAGAGCTATGTTCTGCTGTAGGGGATCCAATATCCCCAACCCCCCTTCGTACCTTGCACAACAGATCATTTCCCAGGCAGCTTTCACGATAAAACTCTAGTGTTCCGTTGCAAGAGGCTTCCATAGGTGCCTCGCTAGCCGATCCTCTCGACTGCGCTAACTCCAAAATTGATAGAGAGCGAGCTAATCGCGCTTGCGAAATTTATAGCGTGCATGCTTGCGCGAGATACTCGGGATTGTGCCTGAGTGAGAAGGAAGGAGGAGGAAGGAAGTGCCTACGACTGCATGGCCAGGCCGCGGCGTGGGGGACGTAGCCACACTCCACACATCGATCCGGTCATGCAAGCATTCAGGCCAATAGGACAGGGGGAGAAGTACGCACACACAAAGGCGCCACAAAAGATATCAGGAACGAAAACAGTTACAATCACGCCCGCCAAAACAAAAATTACAGTTACACGCAAGATTAAGGCGAGGAAAAGTCAGAGCGCAGATCCTGACGCGGCAAAGCGTGCGCAAGCAAGAAGCGTCGTGCAGCAAAATTGCGACGTACCTAAATTCCTCGCCTAAATCTTAATTACCAAAAAGAAATTCCGAGAGAAGACAATTCTGAGAGCCCCGGGGGACTCGATATCAATTGAACATTCAAAAAGATTTTCCCGCGCGACGATCGCGCCAAAATTCTCATTTCTCACAGCAGAACAAGAAAAAAGCTATGGCAACAGTTATCCTTCGCACTCGCTAAGGCGCGATCAACTACCAACCGTCATAGGACTATCCCGGCCTTGATTCCGAAAAACAAGAAAAGTAAGGGCACCCATGCAATCCAACGGGCCATCCCGATTGGACCCCCGAAGTAGCCTTGCGCAGAAAGTCGCTCGGTTGCAGAAGGCAGTTCGTCACAGTGGCGCTTAGGACCAAAGCTCTACCGAACAGAGATAATTGGTGGTCTCTTACCCACCCGTTGATCTTTGCCACTACCTTATCTGTTAAGATTGCATCTTGGGTAGAAGAGCAGTCTTTCAGGGAGACCTGAACGTGCAGGAACCGGTCTGATGTGTTAGCCGGGATTAAAGACCCCAGTCCGCCTCCAGATTATAAGACAGGGGCATAAAATATACTGATTTGTCCCAGTTGATGGACGGCTCGGAGAGTTCACAGTATTGGTCTAGGACCCATTTCAATTCATCGAACTGCTCTTTCTTGTTGACGCATGCGACAGTCAAATCGTCAGCTATCGCTTCCCTCTTCCAATGGATAGACGGCAGGAAAAGAAGCCCTACTATCTTACGATTACTCCTATTTATGTGCAGAAGCACTTCTATTTGCCCAGGGTGTCAAAGGGCATCCTTGCCTAAGCGATCTCGATAGCGGAAACTCAGAAGAGAGTTGGTCATTCACCACTACTACCGAGGAGGCCTCTGTATAAATTGCCATGTGCAAAAACCTACTCCAAATCCCATATTTTCCATAGAAATGAACACAAAGGCCTAAGCAGCAAAACCGTCACCTCTTTATCTTCTCTACAAATTACTTCTAGGGCCTGTATCGTTGACATAATATTATCAAATATTGATTTCCCCTTTACAAATGCTCCTTGTTCCCTCACCACCACGTTTGGGAGATGTGGGCCAACCGAATTACTAAGGCTTTGGCCAAATTTTATAGGCCACGTCTAATACAGAGATCGGTCTATAGTTCCTTACTTCCTTCTTATCTCCTTTCTTATAGAGGGAGATGGCCCCTGTTTACCATCCCTTCGACAAATGACCTTAGTAAGGCAGTTATTAAAAAATTGGCATAGGAAGGGGGCAAAGGTCTCCCATGAGCTCAGGAAAAGTTCCACTGGCAACCCGTCCAAGTCCGGTACCTTTCCCTTTGCTTGGCTGCTGTAAGCAATTCTTGAGTTGAAAAGGGAGCATCCAATTCTTTTCTGCCTTCTGATGAGATACATCCCCTCATGCCCTCCCAAAAGGGAGAGACCTGAGCTAGGTCTGCGTCCGCTGTATCAATGGGGCATCTGGTAGAAGCGATGTCTTGGAAAATAAGCTTTCGCTCATGTGCACATACCCTGTGTAGAAGTCGCAGCTGGCACTCTCAAACAAATGAGTGAATCAGTTCCCGTACCACTGGTCTGGCTTGTTTCAGGATCACACTTCTAAAGACAAGTTTTGTCATCCAATCGTACCCCACCAACCCCCTGATTTTCAACCATTCCAACCACTCTTCCTGTCTCCTTGCTTCTAGTCTGTCCAAAATAGCCAGATTTGCCTTTGGCTGTTCGGACCAGTAGTATTCTGTGAAAGGGTTACGCTCCATTTTTTCTTACTGCCTGCTGGAACTTCTTCTCTTCCCAGTTTCAGTTCGCCGCTCGCATTCTAGAGAATGTTTCAAGAGCTACTGTAATCATCCCGAAATAGCGGGTTTTGGAAGTTTCCCAGCGGAAATGTTGCCGGGGTAATTGCAGAAATAGCAGGTTGATGTATTTTTGCAACAAAAGTTGGACCCCGCCCAGTGCCCACAAATACTTTTGCTGTGAAACTACCCAGACCTGTAAAAAGCCGCTACGAAAGATGTATTTTTGCAATGAAACTTGGGCCGCTCCACTACCAGTGATTTTGCTTTTGCTGTGAAACTACTGCGAACACACTATTTTTGAAACTAAGTCTTACCCACTGTTCCCTGTAAAGGTGAAGTTTGAGGTAATTCCAGAGCTTAGTGTGCCGCTCCCCACCAATAGATGGAGCAGCCCGACAGATAAGCCCTCAATTCTGACGGTTCTCTTACCACCGCCAGGATAGAGGGATATCGCAAGGGCTTTTCTATATAAAAAAAAAAAAAAAAAAAAGGAAAAAAAGGAAGTGGTACTTTGGCCCCTACAATGGAGCTTGAATCTGCAGACAACTGCTATCCAGTGGTCGGGCAAGTCGATCCGGCAGACTATCGTAGAGGTCCAGAGGGAGTCCAGAGGGAGGAGAGATCGTGGTGGATGTTGCAATCCACATGGCAGATGTTGGGGCAAAACTGGAAAAGGAACTGAAAGGGTGTGCTATCTTGTTGGTGAGCCACGGGGCCTCACTGCACTATCCACAAAATGTGCAAAACGAGATTGAATCTTCGGCTAGACCATGGAAAGAGAAAACGCCATATTTTTCGTTGTTTGTGCATGTAGCGAGTAGTGCCGCGAGGCCCATGGAGACCCTCTGCAAATTACCCAGGCAGCACGCCAGCCATTCAGCGATACCCAGGGGCGAGTTCCCACTAGCGAATCTGGATACGTTTTATGCAGAGATGCAGAAAAGCAGATCAATCGCCATCTTCTGCACTTCTCCACCAACGCGTCCAGATTCATGGTGTTCAATCCAATCCTCTTTGCTAGTGGGGCCTCGCCCCAGATGCAGTTGTCTGGGAGGAAGCAGGATGGATCGAGTCGGCCTCAACTGTTTGACGCCCGCCTCAATTGCATCAATCAGAATGAAGCATTTTGCGATTACTGCTAGTAGCATTACCGTTTGACGCCCTCCTCAATTTGAAAAAAAAAAAAAGAAAAAAAAAAAGAGGTGGGACTTAGGGCATACTCACAGTCTCACATTACTAGTAGCACTGCGATTACTGCCTTACCTGGGTGAATATGACCGCAATCACGTCCATGGTCTCCGCTGTGAAATGGGGAGGGGAGAAAGGAAATCCCTTGCGCTTCACAGAGACTGCCCTTTGGAATCAGCTCCTATTTCTATGACTTTACATGAAGACTTTTCTAAGGTTTTCTCTTTTTCTGAAGGTATCTGGTCTCGAACTTGAGTCTGTTTTTCAACAGTTCAGGTGGTGTACCAACTGAGCTAGGCCCGTTGGTTTTTCTAAGGTTTTGGCTAAGATCACAAGTGTAGTATCTGTTCTGATCATTTTAAACTTTTTAGGGGCTCGTTCCACACTCCACGGGCGCGTAAATCCCCCGAGGAAATGATCGTTCCACTTATCCTCGGGGAAGAAATTGAAAAAAAAATGTGAAAACATTTCCTCGGGGATTCCTCGGGGATTCCTCGGGCCACAGCCATTTCGACGCGTTCCCCAAGGGACCTCCCGAGGTCCCTCGGAGGTCGAGCATCCGGAAGCATCGGGACGTCGTCGGCAGCTCTGTCGACGACATTTTGCGACGGCCGTCTGTACCACTGTTGTTCCTGGCGCCCGTGGACGGACATCTTCGATCGGCAACGGTCGGCTTCATGGAAGAGTGCGCCAACGGTCCCCTTTTGCGGCCCGGTCGCTTCCCCGACGTCGAAAATCGGCTTTCTTGCGTCGCCGCCCTTGTCCCCGAGCGGGANGAAGAGTGCGCCAACGGTCCCCTTTTGCGGCCCGGTCGCTTCCCCGACGTCGAAAATCGGCTTTCTTGCGTCGCCGCCCTTGTCCCCGAGCGGGAAGGCGCCCAACGGTCGCAAGATTCGAATATTTGAACCGTCCCCCGGCAGGGCGATTGCGCAATGTGTTCACAAACGGAATGCGTTACCGTGCTTTTGTCGTTTGTTGCGGTCAGGCGTTTGCAGCAGTGTMCGTCGCCGTTACGTGATAGATCCCCCGTTGTCTACTAGCTGCCACTGTCATCCAMGTGCTTTTCATGGCCRAYGTCTTTCGGAGGCTGCCGCTGCTGCTGCTGGTCGTCCTATTGCTCCTCCTCCTGGTTGTCTTCCACGTGTGCATCCTCGGCGGCCTTCCGCGACGTGGTCGCAGAAGGAGGTGTGTGAAGAACAACGACAGAATGGAGGGCCAGAAGGCGATCAGCGGGTCCGCAGGGGAGTGCGGTGGGCGGTGGTCCGGGAACAGCCCGTCGAATAGTCCAAGGCCGTCGGAGCAGTCTGGGCATGCGCACCTGCCACCGCACTTGCAACCTCTGCCTGACACGGACGACGAGGAAGGGGACGATCGACGGTCACTGACCGTGCCGCTGGGAAGCGGATCCACCCAGGAGTGGGTGGCTACAGAGCTGTTTGGAAGCCGCGACGGCGGTAAAGGGCAGTCGTACACCGAACTCCTCCAGCAGGGGATCAGCGACACCGATGGCGATGGCGGCGTGAATCTGTCATTTGGACTCGGCAGCGGGAGGTCGGCAGTCGTCTCTCGAACGGTCGTCGTGAACCCCCATCCCCACGACGATGGCAGCGACGTGACGGCTGTTCAGCGATCACCCAGGTCTCCAGCACCGCTGCGGGAGGCTTCGGGGAACAACAATGATCCTCCTAGGCAGCAATTTCGGTCGCCGTCTGTGTGTAGGGGTGCCTCCGCTCGCCCCTAGTGGATGCAGTCTCCGTCTCCCCTGTCCGCCGGTTCGAGTGCAGGTCGTCGTGTTGGCGAGTGTAGGGAGACGGCGCCTGCCGTTGCTGATGTTGGTGACGCACGTGACGGAAGGGAGGTGTGGGCAGAACAGCGACAGTTGATGAGGTCAGTGCGGGAGGAGTCCATAACTCGGGGGGTGCAGCGATTGCGTGTTGGGGAAGACGGGCACGACGGCGAGGACGCAGGGGCGGACGCGCACGACCCCGACTGGAACGACAACGGCGCTGAAGGTTGGGAGGACGACGCAGCCAACATTTCGCCGTCGAAGCAGGCGGCCGCTATGGGAGGGAGGGGCGGAAAGACGAAGTCGTGTAGCGGTAATGGTCGTCGGGGCAAAAGGACGGCAGGCAAGGGCAGCGATGCCGAAGGTGATGTCGATGGTGAAGGAGGTCGTCACTTCTGGTCCGTCGACGACATTATAGCCCTCATCCGGGCTAAACGTGATCAGGATGCGCATTTGCAGGGGATGGGCCACGTGTACGCTCGGATGAAGCCGCGAGAATGGAAGTGGCTGAATGTGGCAACAAGGTTGAAGAAGGTGGGCGTCGACAGAGAGGCCGATCGGTGCGGGAAGAAGTGGGACAATCTGATGCAGCAGTTCAAGAAGGTTCATCATTTCCAAGGACTGTCCGGGAAACAGGACTTCTTCCAATTGTCTGGGAAGGACAGGATGTCGAAGGGCTTAAGTTTCAATATGGATCGTGCGGTTTACGATGAGATACTGGGGTCGACCGCCAAGAACCACACCAGAAACCCGAAGAACCTCTAAGCACACTGGTGCTTAGTGTGGTGTGCGTCTGCCGTCCGCCTCCTCTGCGGATCCTGAATCTGTGGGCGATGGGGACGGTGGTGCAGAGCACGACGACGACGACGACGGGTCCACCAAAGGTTCTTCGCAGACGACGGGTGGCACAGGCGGTTTCGGCAAGAGGAAGAGCACAAGGCAACAAACATTTGAGGCAATGACGGAGTGCATGGAGAAGCACGGGGCGTTAATGGCGTCAACGATGGAGAGCAACAGCAAACGTCATTGCTCCATCGCCATACGTCAGTGCGAGGCGCTGGAAGCGGAGATCGAAGTGCAGAAAAAGCACTACGCAGCATCAGACGAAGTCAGCAAGCTTATGTGTCACGCCTTGCTGGAGATAGCGAAGGCCATCGGCAAACGTTAGACGTAGTGTCGCCTCTGTTGTGCTCTCTGTTTGCTTGCATGGAATTGGACGGAGCGAAAGTGATAGTCTTTCCGTCGTCGATGTAGCTTAGCTTAGCCATCGCCGTCGTCGTCGATGTGTCGTTCCCCCAATGGCGGTGCTGGCCAAGGAATTGGGTACTGGTCCGATTCGGTGGATGAGTCCTTCGGTGAAATTTGTTTTCGCTTTTAAAATTGTTTTTTTTTTTACATTATTCATTTCGTTTGTTGTTGGCCTCGATCGTGTGACGGGACGGATGATTCCGTCATCTCTGAATTGTAATTGGCATCGATGAAGTGCAGTATGCACTTTCCTTTTTTACATGACGACATCGATTTCGTTCTCTCTCTCTCTCTCGTTTCTTTGTGTCTTTGCCGTAAATGAAATGCAGAGGTGTAATAAAGGTGTTGTATTTAATGCCGTTGTTTTTCGGATTTTTTGTGTTCAATCGAAATCGGCTCCCTCTTTCTCTTCAACGTGTGTTTCGGTGTATTCTCCTGAAATGAAATGCAATGGTGCCATGAAGGTGTTGTCTGTGCTGCCGTCCTTTTTTGGGTATGCATTTGCTAATGTTGTGCATACACCCAATTAGTCGTCGAATGAGTACCTTGGGTTCGATCAAACGTCCCCCCCCACAAGCGGATGTCGAGGCATGACAGCTGTACGAAATGAACGTTGTGTTGTGTGTTTTGTGTTGGTCTATTTACCAGTTTTCGTTATCTCGTAGATAGTCGGGCGTGGTGCTTTATTTCGGAGTTCGGGAGGGGGAATACTGAACCCGTCCAGGCAAATATGCATGCCATGTTGGGGGGTCGGGGTAGGGGGCGGTTGGGGTGGAATGCGGGCGGGGGTTGGTTTTCGCGGCTTTCCAGTGTAGGAGGCGAGTTCGGTCCTCGTTCATGGCTGGCATGGAGTGTGGACGATGGGATAGTGGGATGGAGTCGTTTGTGGGGGCATAATTTCGGCCTGTGGGGTCCCTCCGTGTCCACAATCGATGAGGGGAGGCGAGACGAAGGGCGGTGGCGCAACGGATGCACGGCCGCGTTGCCCGCGACCCTTCGCCTTTTGTCTTGCCCGCCATGATGACCCTGCGTTTTTCTTGTGTTTTGGTGGAGCTTGGAAATGACCCTCGGTTGGCCTTCGCGCTGCGTCTGTGCTGCCGTCCACCCCGCGTGACACGTGTTTATAAGGACGCAGGCGTTCTGCGCAAATGCACGACAACACTCTCTCTCTCTCTACCTCACGCAGTCCCCGCCGCCCGCCGCGCTTGTTCTGCTTTTGGTCGCAGTCGTCTGCGCCACTCGAGTCACCTTCGTAGCCTGCATCCGCGCCTTCGTCGCCATCGTCGCCATCGAGTCTTTTTGTTCAACATCGTCGCCGTCATCGCCATCGTCGCCGCGTCCGTTGCCAACGTAGTTCTCTTCACTGCTTGCGTCTTCTTTGCAGTCGTCTTCGGCGACATTCTCCTCGGCGAGCACGTCTTTTCGCCCGTCGTCTTCACTGCTATCGTCGCCTTTCCGTAGATCCTCGCCTTCGTCGTCCAGATTGTCATCGTCACCGCGGGTGCGTCTTGCGCCATGTCCTCACGCGCTTCCACACGCGGCAAGGCCGCCGCCAACCTCTCACAACAACCGGCGACCCGGGAGAAGAAGGGCCGCCACATGGCCAGCAAGAAGAGGAAGATCCTCGAAGGCGCCCCAGCACATGGAGGTTACGTGCTGGATGAAGAGTGGGTGCCGAAGGACGTGGCGACGCAGGAGGGGACGGATTTTGAAGACTCTGACGACATGCCGTTGCAGCGGAAGTCGTCCAGGCGGGGGAGTGGCGGCATCCGCATAGACGACGCTGGAGAAAGACGACGCGCAGGAGGGCGGCCAGTACCGGAAGACGTCGTCGACGTTGACGCCGCGACGACAGCCAAAGAGGGCGGGGGAAATCGCGCGCCACTGCCACGTATGACTCCACCAACCGACACGCAAGAGGGCGTGGTTTGCTTACGGACACCGCTGACACCACGCTCGAGGACGGCTGCAGACGTGGCCTTGTCGGGGGGGCCATCACAGGCGGCGGGAGGGGTGAGGGCAGGCGGGGCAGCGGGTGGGTGGGGATCGCACACGG